ACGGCCACAGAGCGTGGTCCACCACCTTCACTTGCATGTTTCTAACGTGGCGTCGTCAATGTGGCTGGTTGACGTGGTGTCGTTCCCCCGGCTGCCTGCGAAGTGCGTGTCCTCAATTGCGTCGATCCCCCACGATGGACAGCGGCACCAACTGGCGCTTCCTCCATTTGCTCGTCTTCATTGTGCTCCAAATCCATGACTCGTTCCTCCCGTGTTCGTGCCTGCATTGTTGATCAGCCACCCTGTGAATGAACATTGGACGGGGAAGGCGGCGGTGGGTCAATCTGTATGCTCCCCCCCCCTGCCGCAGTTGTCGGCGACGCCCGCCTTGAGCCACGACAATATGTGCCCCTTCAAGAGCATCCTCTGTCGCGAACACATCATCGTTGACCCTCCTGCTCGGTCTTCCCCACCCATCCAACGCCATTTGCGCTACACTACTTGACGCGGCATCTTGACGGCCCGTTTTCGTTCTTGAGACTTGCCGCCCTTCTCTATCAGATCCCCTTGTCTCTTCCTCGATGCCATCGTGTTTCCTGCCGCGCACACGACCACTTAATTCGGCTTGTGACGACATGGGCTTCTTCTGCACCACTCTCCCACTTCTCACCGCTGTCTGTCGTATGCCACCCACACAATCGCGATGATTATCGCGATGGCAAAGAACGCGACGACATTGAAGACAATGCACTTGACGCTCACGAAAATGCTCCTAAAGACAAGGCGATGGCGAACCACAATGGAGAAAATCGATGGCGACAACCAGATGAGCGGCGAAGGGCCCACTTACTATGATTCCCCACCAAGATGGTGATGAAGACAGTTGAAGGCCAACGGGGGTGTTACGAGGCGAGTACTTCTGTGCACAGACAGCGGGGTAAGTGAGGACACAATGTAACGGCAAGGGAGGACTGGGCTGGCAGGATCTGCTATGGCGACGAGTCCGGCGCACTTGCGCGTAGCGGGAGCTTTCGACAACGAAGGACCCAGAGGCGGAGTGCTATGCTCTCCTCTAGACCGTGATTTATTCTGCGGACAAACATGTCCTTTCAGCGGTCGAAGAGCGACGATGACTGCGCCTAACGATCACCCGAACATTCCGAAGAGCGACGATGACTGCGCCTAACGATCACCTGAACGATCACCCGAACATTCCGGTGACCAAACGACGAAGCTAAAAAAAATAATTTTGTTTTGCATGATTCCATCCAGCCCCCTCCCCCCCCTTCCCAACGCTAACACCCCTTCCCCCCACCCTAAACCCCCCACCCACCTCCCCCTTCACTTTACGATGCGAAACACAATGTGGGAATCACCCCTCTTATCCCTCCTTCGCCTTTATTTGTTGCCCTGCGCCCTCCGCTGAAATATGCGGGGACGCATCAAGCACTTCCCTGGGGAGGAGCGGACGACGTGGACGGCGAACAGCTTCCACGAAAAGACCGGGGCATGGGACCTCTAATGTGATCCCTACCAATGACAGGCGGGATGGCCCGTATGATGTACTCCGCATCATGTGCAATGAGAAATCGAATTCACGGGCGATGGCAGTGACGTACAAGTGTGCAATGTCCCACATTGGATCGTATTCCCCCACAACGTCATTGGGCAGGCGATCACCAACGTCACAAACGAAGATGAGTCTTAGATGACCAGCCACCGCAGCAGGTGACGTGTCATGCCTAATCATGCACAAAAATAAAGCTTCGGTTTGCGCCCCCACCAGACGTCCACATGCCGTACCTGATATCTATCCACGTCGTAGTCAAACTCTGCCTCCCAACAAAAATCGTAAGGATCCATGTTCCGATGGTGTGCCCATTCGTGCTCTCCTCCCGTACACCACCCCCTCGAACACCGGATTGGATTCGTGCTCAAGTCGACCAGGCACCGACGACCACTGGCAAGAAAGGTGTGTGTGTGTGTGACACTGTGTGTGAGTGTGTGTGTGTGTGTGTGTGTGTGTGTGTGTGTGTGTGTGTGTGTGTGTGTGTGTGTGTGTGTGTGTGTGTGTGTGTGTGTGTGTGTGTGTGTGTGTGTGTGTGTGTGTGTGTGTGTGTGTGTGTGCGTGTGTGTG